GAGAACACATTAAATTGAGCAGAAATTCCTGGGTTCAACCTAAAGTGCCCACGCAGAAGTCTTCATAGTTACCAAGGACTGGAGAACTGAACTGGTAGGGGTACATCATAATGTTATAATTTCCTCTCTTATCACTGTTTTAGCTGCAATCCACGAATTTTGATATATTGCTTTTCCAAGTTAATTCAGTTCTATGGATGTTTTTAATTTCCAACATCTGAATATGCCTGTTCCAAGCACACATGGAAGACTCACCGGGCTAGCTTATCTCCTGGGCCATAAAACAAACACTGTTTTTCCTTAAGGCGGAGTCTCGCTCTGTTGCCCAGGCTGGAGTGCAGTGGTGAGATCTCAGCTTACTACAACCTCTGCCTCCCGGGTTCAAGGGATTCTCCTGCCTCAGCCACCCGAGTAACTGGGATTACAGGCGCACACCACCATGCTTGGCTAATTTTTTTTAAGACGGACTCTCGCTCTGTTGCCAGGCTGGAGTGCAGTGGTGGGATCTCGGTTCACTGCAACCTCTGCCTCCTGGGTTCAAGTGATTCTCCTGCCTCAGCCTCCCGAGTAGCTGGGACTACAGGCACGCCCCACCACGCCCAGCTATTGTGTGTGTGTGTGTGTGTGTTAGTAGAGACGGGATTTCACCATGTTGTCCAGGACGGTCTCAATCTCCTGACCCTGTGATCCGCCCACTTGGGCCTCGCAAAGTGCTGGGATTACAGTGGCGAGCCACCGTGCCCGGCTGGCTAATTTTTTTTTTTTTTTTTTTTTTTAATTTTAGTAGAGACCGGGTTTCACCATGTTGGTCAGGCTGCTCTGGAACTCCTGACCTCAAGTGCTCTCTCTGCCTTGGCCTCCCAAAGTGCTGGGAATATAGGTGTGAGCCACTGTGCCCGCCCTGTTTTTTCTTTTTGAAACAACAGATTTCTAAAATCCAAATCATCAAGAGTATGTTCTTTGACCTCTCTGGACGCATAATAGAAATCAAACAATAACATAAGTGCAATAGGAAATTATCATACCCTGTGGAATTAAATAACACCATCTTCAACAATTCAAGGATCAAAAAGGTAGTCTCAAAGAAATCCATAGAACTGAATTAAATTGGAAAAGCAATGTAACACAATTTGTGGGATGCAACTAAAACAGTGTTTAGAGAGAAAATTATAACATTTAGTACTTAAAGTAAAAGAAAGATCTCACATAAATCATCTGAGCTTCTACCTGAACTAACCAGAAAAGAAGGAAACCCAATTAAAGCTAATCCACGTTGAAAAAATTCTCGAAGCTAACAAATGTGTTCAAATAAATAAAAACGGAAATGTGATGTTTAAAAATATCTGCCATTCAGCTAAAATGTGCCTAGGGGAAGTTTGATGTACTGAGCTGCTTATATTAGAAAGTAATAAAAGACTCAAATATGTATATTCTGATCTTAAATAACTGGAAAAGAAAAAGGAAATTAAACCTAAGGTGAGCAGAAGGATGCGGACAATATAGACAAGAGGAGAAAAAACAATGAAATTGAAATTTTGGAAATTTTAGAAAAACAATAAATAGTATAGATGGAATCAAATGTTAGGTATTTAAGTAGATCAGACAAGCTGAAAGGCCCGATGTCAATCTGAGAAATTTAAAACACATGGCTTTGGGCCAGCTGTGGTGGCTCAAGCCTGTAATCCCAGTACTTTGTGAGGCAGAGACAGGCAGATCAATTGAGGCCAGGAGTTCAGGAGCAGCCTGGCCAAGATGGTGAAACCCTGTCTCTACTCAAAACACAAAAACCAGCCAGGCGTGCGGTGCATGCCTGTGATACCAGCTACTCGGGAAGCTGAGGCATGAAAATTGCTTGAGCTTGGGAGGCAGGGACTGCTGTGAGCCGTGAGCTTGCCACTACTGCACTCCAGCCTGGGCAACAGAGCGAGACTCTTGTCTCACGAAACAAAACCAAACACCAGAAAACATGGTTTTGGAGAAGCAACAGCTTTGAACACAGCTAGAAGTGGAGGAAATTTTACGGAAACTATAAACTGTTATGACAACAACAATGTTCGTCTCTCAGAGAAGTTTCTGAGGAGACCAGATTTGCCTTGAAATGCTCAACGTGCCTACTATGTTACATATCCTTTCAAATGTATTAGCTCAGGGGTCCCCAACACCCCCCCACCCCGGGCCATGGATGGGAACTAGGCTGCACAGCAGGAAGTGAGTGGTTGGGCAAGGAAGTGAAGCTGAACTCCACCTCCTGTCAGATCAGCGGAGACATTAGCTCCTCAGAGGAGCAGGAATCCTATTGCGAACTGCACCCGTGAGGGATCTAGGTTGCGGGCTCCTTATGAGAATCTAATGCTTGATGATCTGATACTGTCTCCCACCACCCCCAGATGGGACCATCTGCTTGCAGGAAAACAAGCTCAGGGCTCCCACTGATTCTACATTATGCTGCTAATGTAGTAACAATAATAGAAGTAAAGTGCACAATAAATGTAATGTGCTTGAATCATCTGGAACAATGCCCCCACCCCCACCCCGTGCTCCTGGAAAAATTGTCTGTCACAAAACTGGTCCCTGGTGCCAGGAAGGGTGGGGACCGCTGCATTAACCCATCTAACTTGAAGAGGATCCTGTAAGGTCAGCAGGGAGAGTTCACCTTCACTCCACAGCATTTTCTGCACTTCCCTCTGCAACACCATCTATACTCTCAGGAAGCTGAGGATTTCCTCCTTCCATCTGATGCAGGGGCAGACTTTTACCCATCATCTCTGCTACCCTCCACATGACCGTTCTTACCCGAACACCTGCATAGGTGCCACTAGTCCCGCTGAAAGCCAGTATGTTCCTGGGGACAGATGCCAGACAGGAAGCGGTGGAAGGCTGGTTAATTATTCTTTGGAAACTCCAGCTAGCATGTTCGCCATGGAACCACTTCTCGTCTCCTGGGAGGAGCCCAGGGTTTGTAAGAATTCAGCTTCGTGAAATGGCTCCTCCTCTTCTACCTCTTAGGAGGGGAATTTCTGAGCACCATCCGTGAGCGTGCTCAGTCCCCAGCTTCAGGTAAGAAACTTAATAAAATACTACTGCAAATATGAAACTGGCTGCAAAAGCACTCACTCTACCTTCAGAGCTGTAACCCGACCAGGAGACTACAGGCCAAATGGGACTCTTCTCATAGCCCACTGGGAATACACAGAGTAGAAGTCCCCCAGGGAGGGAGGACCAACTGTCTAAAGTCACCGTCCAGAATGGCTGTGGCCGTGGGAGTGGACCCGGGGTGAGCCAGGCCAGAACCAGGGGACTACTTCAAGGGCTAGGGATGTTCCATGTTGCATGGAGGGCAGCTGGGTCTGCCCAGCCTCCAGGGGAGGCAACAGTGAAGAGCAAGCAGTAGGTCAGGTCTCAGAGTCAGAAGGGAAGAAACATGATAGTCGCCAGAGGAAGGGCAGCGTGACACGGGAATGTGCTGGTGCCAGACAGAAAGGCTGATCATGTATTTGTCCCTCAGACCCAGGAAAGAGAAGACAAAAAGATGTGGCTGAGCATTTGTGGGCGCCCCTACAACCTGTTTCATAGTAGGTGCTCAATGGACAGCACCCAGCAGACAGTTCCCAGGGGACCCACCACATGCCATCCCCAAATGGTATTTGATGCTCATTGTCACCTTCTTTAGGCCTGCATTTAGTACCTCGGCCTCGGGGCCCTTCTTTCTGTTACTTGAGAGACATGATGCATTGCTGAGAAGAGAGATGAAGTGTCAGTGAGGAGGTCAGCCTCAGGCTCAGGGGAGTGGGAACGGCATGGGCTCCAGAGAAATTCAGATCAGGGATCCAGTTGCAGCTCTGTTCCTCACTAGCCACGCGATCCTGGGAAATACAGAAGGTCCGTGAGCCTCTGGTTCTTCCTCTGTGAAGCAGGTGTGATGAGGCCCTTCCACTAGGACTGCTGGAGTGTGTTCAATGTAAGTGAAAGCCCTGGCTCGGGGCCTGGCGTTGAATTAGAAGTTTAAGGAATGGCAGAGGGCTGTTATATCTAATATTGTTTGACCCCAGACCCTAGCACTCTGGGATCTCGTTAATGTTGTTGTTCTCCAAGACTTATCAGAGAATAGACAGCTCCACAGGACATGGGATAATTAGCCCAAACAGGAAGTTTCCTCAATAAAAGTAAGTACTTCCTCTTAGAGAATGTACTTCAAAATTTGGGTGTGCTGGAGTCTTGCGCAGCCGGATGCAGCTCAGAGCTCCTAGAATTTGAATCAAGGATCAGCTCCTTGCCTCTCTCCCAGCTGCTTTTTGATCCAAGACACTGTTTTCACTCATTTTTCTAACGCTCAGAATCTAGCCTTTCCTTACAATTGGTCAAATCCCACTTGAGATAACTTGATTAGAATGCCTTTTAAATAGGATCAACTCTGGGTCTCCAAGACAGGCAGAAAACCACCAATGACTTCTGGGCTTCCTTTCCTGGGAGATTCACGCTTATCCTGCAGGAAACCCTTGCAGACGACAGGTACCCATCACCTAGCCCCTGCACTGTGTTCAGCCGCACCGAGACAAGGGCGCAGGACACTTTCCTCCTATTCCTGCCCCAGGTGGAAGCTCTTCTCCGTTCATCCACCATCCAAAAGAAACTGCTGAGCAGTTCTCCATTCCAGGCCTTTCTCTCTTCCTCTGAGAATCTGGCTCTGGCACCATCCAGCTTCATTACAGTTTGCTCCCCTAGAAGGAACTGCAGTTTCCCAAAGCCCCAAAGCCCCTGGCTCAGGGCATACACACTCCACTGCTGTCATCTACAGCCCCAAACCCTCACCCATGTTTTATTTTCCTCTAGTCCTTGGGAGGACATCTCACCACCTTAATTTTATTGACTGTAGCTCCTAGACTTCACCGCCCTGTGGTGAAGGGGTGGGTCTGGCTTACCTTCGCCATCTCTACTAATAAGCCAGAATGTGCCGAATAACAGATGCTCAGTGCATGTTTGGAGAAAAAAAAATGAGCCAGTGAACAGGAAAAATTATTTATTCAGTTTTGTTTCTCTTACGTTCTCAAAGAAGCCAAGGGAATCCAGGTGTACATGTGCATATTTTAATTTTACAGGGGAGGGAAAGAGGTATAAGGCAAGAATTAACGATACTTTCATTTCCTTACTTCTTTATGAGCTCTATTTTGCCGCTAAGTTCAAGTTTCTAAGAACAAATTCTTAACTCATCTGCTACTTATCTTGTCCCAATTCGCAAAATAACGTGGATTTCCCCTTGGGACTCAAAAGCAAGAATCTTACTCCTAAATAACCTGAACAGCAGTATGTGTGACAGCTGTCATCCATTAACTTCGATGGTTGGGTTTCATCAAACTGACCATTAAAACAAAACAACATTTGAAGAATTGCAAAAGGGAGCAAAGATTAATTTCCAAATCATCCAACAGGCAAGGAACCCAGAGACGGTATACAGTGTGTTCACCCCCACCCACTGCCACTGAGAACACCGATTCCGATCTTCCAACAGAGAGTGAAGAATGGGTCTCACGTCACATGGGGCAGGACAACGGCTGGGTGTGGCCCTGGCCCCACAGACATTGGCCCTGGCTGCGACTGGTTCTCACACTCCCTCTTGCTCCACCCCCCAAACCTCTTCACACAGGGATGGGTAGCAGATGGGACCTCTTGCATTGATCATGATGAAATAATCTATGACTTCCTCGTAGCTGGTTTCAGCGTGGGCCTTTGAACCCCAGAGGAACTCGTAGCGCTCAGGATCACTGCCGGGCACCTGGCGGTACTCCAGATAGTTTTCCTGCACCCAATCTTGGGTGAGCAGCTTCCTGGGCTCCCCATAGAAAGTGTGCTCCATCCCAACATACACCCCCATCGCACTCAATGTTTCCCAGATAACCTCTTCAGGGGCGCAGTTGTCTTGGGCTAAGATCATACCCAGGACAACGATCAGGAGGGCGACCTTGGGCATGCTATGACCATCACCCAGCATGCTATCACATGAGAGGCCAAGAGCAGGGACAAGGACGTAGGAGTGGCTGGCGGGGTCCACCTCCTTCACTTCAACTCCGAAGATCATCTGCATGAACTCGGAGGCTTTACCGAAGATCACAGGAAAGTACTGCTCGTAATTCTGGGTGACACGCTCCAGCATTTCTGCCTCTGTGACCGGCTCCTTGACTTTATATTTGTGGAGCAGGAGACGAACCAACTCACCCACCTTAGATTTCATTGCTTCTTGGAGCAAGGAATCCAGGTGAGCTAGGTCGACCCAGGGGCTTGGCCCTTCCTCTTGTTGACTGCTGGAGCCCTCAAGGAATTGGCTCCACAGACTCCTCAGGGAGCCTCCCTGGGGACTCTGGGAAGGACTTGATGACCCAGCAGCAGACACCTCCTCCTCCTGAGAGGAGGAGGAGGTAGCCTCCTGCTCCTCGTCTGTGGGATCCTGTGTACCCACCAGGCCCAGGTCTTCCCCTTGGGCTTCAAGGTCTTCATCGGGCTTGCCACGCAGAGTCTTCTGCTCAAGAGCCATGATGACTCTGGTCAGGGCAGCAGTTGGGACTGTGAGCAGGAGCTGGGCAATGGAGACCCACAGGCCTGCGGGGAGAGGGAGCGTGTGAGAGACCGCAGCTGAGAAGCGAACCTTGGAGGTTCTAACAAATGCTGACTTACAGGTCTTCTTCAGTGCTGCTCTGGGGCTTCTTGGGGCTCCTGTCCTCCTGGTCAGCCTGTCCCCTGGGAACCTGTAGGAGGAAGCGAGAGGGCTACTCAGCGTGCAGCTGGCCTGCAGAGACCAAGGTTCTCTGGGTGACAGTAGGGTGGATGGGGCTGGGCGCTCTGGACTCCCATGTGTGCTGCGGCAGGCGGGGCCCTTGGTGCACATTCGGGGCGAACATTTCACCTTCACTGCCGACACTGCCCGGGCCGCCTCTGCTCTGTGACCCGAGGACACTGCCTCAGACCAAGGCCTGCCTGCTGCCTGGAGCTCCTAGAAGAGGAATCGAGGGGCCCTTAACCTGCAGACTGCAAGCACAGCCCTGGCCCTTCAGTGCTGCCGAGAGGGCGGCTGGACACTGTGAGTTCTACACACTTTTGGGGTGGATGTTCCCCTCGGTGCTCACTCAGGGCCCTCACGTTACTCCTGGCAGGGACTGGACTCTACTCCTCTACTTGCCCGAGAGTCTCTCAGATCAAGAGCTCATATTCCTGATACGGAACACAAGGACATGCCCCAACCAACATCTGGCCACACCTGCCCAGGGTTTCCCCAGAAGTACAGCAAGAGGGGTCCAAATTCAATGGGGTCCATGTGTCCTAGGGTGAGGATCCTGCCTGGTCCTCATCTTGATGCCTGCAGGGTCTGGAACCCTCCCTTTGTTGACCTGAGGCCTTCCTCTCCAGGAGACACCTGGAGAGGAAGTGAGGGGAGTCCATCCACCCAGTGGCTTCCCTTGGCTGACACAAGGGGCAGGGCGAGGCTAGGTCCTCTGTGGTTGGTGAGCAGGATCCCCTCAGTCTGCATTTTGACTCCTGGCAGGGCCTGGGACCCTCCCTCTGCTGATGTGACTGCAGCCCCCTCAGACCAGGGCCACTCCTCCCTGACACCAGTGATCCCAGGATAAAGGAGGGACCTCAGCAGTCAGCCCTGCACGGGCCCTCTGGGGTGACAGTAGGGGCAGGACACTCTCTCGATCTGAGAATTTCTCTGGTCTGGAGGCACCCTCAATCTTCCCTTAGGTTCCTCACTTGGACTGCTGGCCAATCCTGGGACCACCGTGTCTGTGGAACAGAGGGGCTCCCTGTTTTGTCCTCTCACCCTCTGAGAACAAGTTCCTCACCTCCCTGAGATTCAGAAACAGAGGCAAGGAGTCCCCACATTCATCACACTTGCGTGGGGTGTCCAGGGCTAACCCCACCAGCCGACCCCCTCCAGGTATGAGGCGGGCATTCCAAAGTCCTCCTGTGGGTTATTCATGTTTACTCCTGCTGGAACCTGTCCTTCCTCGACCCCCAAACCCTCGAGATGAGCGGACATCTCCCTTTACACCAATATCTCATCCCCCTGAGGGTTACTCAACTTCCTGCCCGTGGTACTTGTGAGCCTGCCACTTAGCCCCATCCTCAGAGCTAAGAACAGAGGTCACGTAGACTCTGTGGGGCGGCTTCTTTCTGCGCTGGGGGCACCTCCATTTCTCAGGAAGGGGGCACACCTTGGGTCCTGCTGATCCTGGGAGTCCTCCTTCTGCTGACCAGGTGCGAATCCCACTGTTTAATCTCTCAGTGCCCCTGGGAGCAAGGTACTCAGCTCCCTGAGACCTCTCACCCCCAACCACGTGAGAGAAATGAGAGCATGCCACATGCCATTCCTGCCTGGGGCCACCTGGGGCTGAGAATAGGCGACGCCAGTGTCTGCGAGGTCCTTTCTGCTTTGGGAGCATCTAGGTACGTTCTTACCTTCAGTCCTCACCAAACTTCCACTCTGTCACTCCTGGAAGACCCTGGATTCCACCCTGTGCTGACCAGGTGTGGCTCCCTCTGCAGAGCTGAGGACACCCCTCAGAACAAGGCCCCCACCTCCCTGAGACCTGGGAGTCAGAAGTGAGGGGGCACCACATGGTCACTCATGCATGGGATACCCAAGGCTGACCACAGGAGTGGGTTTCAGGGGGCCTCCTCGATCTGGGTGTCCTCTAGATAGTCATCTTTACTTCTGACAGGGTCTGGCCCCTTCCATTTTGCTGAACCAGAGAGGAGTCTTGCAGATCAAGGCCAACTTCTCCCTGAGACTCTCATTAAGAAAGTGTGGGGCGGGGGGCTCTTCCCTTCCTCACAGTCTGGCCTGCAACCTCCCGAGACTGATGGCAGGGGCAGGTTTCCTAGATCTGGGATGAGAGGTCTGGTGAATCCTTCCTCACGGCTCTGAGACTCCTCCCTCTGCTCACCTGAAGCCCCACTCCTCATACCACAGCCCAGTCCCCACGGACACTCGACTCCACAGGCCAGAATGCATCACATGCGGCCACCGTGCCCGGGATCGCCCAAGCCAAGATCCCCACTGATCTGGACTCCACAGTCCCTCTGCCCTCCCTCTTCTTCCTTCCCTGGTCTCCTAGAGGGCTGGGCCCCACCCCTCTGTAGACCTGAGTCTCTATCCATCAGATTTCCGAAACTGAATGAGGAGGCACCTCGGTCTCAGATGGAGGCGGGGTGGGCCCACTGTCCTGGGGTGCTGGGTCCCCTCAGGCCTCCCTTGTCTCCCAGCAGGACCTGGGCCCTCCCTCTGTTCTCTTGGTATCGTTGGCCATGCTAACGATACCAAGCCCCTTCCCTCGGTCAGTCCAAGTTGCAGACATCAGGATCCGCTTGCCTGGCCGCCATGCCCGGAACTTCCCAGGGTTGACAGCAAGGGCAGAGAGAGACTCCCTCTACGGGACCTCAGCCCTTCCTCAGAATCCTGACCTTGATGCCTGGCAGAGCCCGGCCCCTGCCCTCTGCTAACCAGCCCTCCCCTGGTCACACCAAGCTCTGACTCCAGAGTCCCCTGGGGCTTAAGCGTCAGGGTGGCAAAGGGTGGCCCAGCCTGAGAAGTCTGCCCCCGGGTAGGCCCGGGCTGGCAGCAGGGGTGGTGCTAGATTATTTGGGTCCCTCTATCTGGGGTGGGGGCATCCCCACTCCTTCCTCGTTGTCTCACCTTGCCTCCTCACAGAGCCCGGGCCCACTTCCCTCTACTTATCTTAACCTGCCACTCAGAACCAGGCCCTTGCTACTCTCTGATCCCCAAAGTACAAGCCAGTGGCCTTACATCCGGGCACCCAGAGCTTCCCTGTGTCAGCAGCAGGGGCAGAAAGGATTCTGCCGTGGGAGACTTGGGGGTGGGACGGAGTTGAGGGTGGAGAGTGGGGGTGAGGATGAGGGTGGGGAACCTGGGGCTGTAGGTCATGGTGGTGGTGGTCCGGTTAGAGGTGGGGAGGTGCTCAGCCCTCCCTCAGGGTCCTGATCTTCATGCCTGGCAGAGCCTGGACCCTGCCCTCTCCTCACCAGCCCTGCCCTGGCCTCACCAAGCGCTCACTCCAGAGTCCCCTGGGGCTTAAGTGCAGGGGTGGTGAGGGTTGGCCGACCCTGAGGAGTCCGCCCCCATGGGGTGGTCCGGAGCAGGCCGCAGATGCAGTGCTGGATTACTTGGGGTCCTCTATCTGGGATGGGAGGGTCCCGAGTCCTCCCTCAGCCACGCACCTTGCCTCCTCACCGAGCCCGGGCCCACTTCCCTCTGCTGATCTTAAGCCGCCACTCAGAACCAGGCCCTTGCTACTCTCTGATCCCCAAAGTACAAGCCAGTGGCCTTACATCCGGGCACCCAGAGCTTCCCTCTGTTAGCAGCAGGGGCAGAAACGGATTCTGCCATGGGAGACTTGGGGGTGGGACGGAGCTAGCCGCAGATGTGGTGCTGGATTACTTGGGGTCCTCTATCTGGGAAGGGAGGGTCCTGAGTCCTCCCTCAGCTTCTCACCTTGCCTCCTCACAGAGCCTGGGCACGCTGCCCTCCGACGATATGAACCCGCCCCTCAGAGCGATGCCCTCACTACTCTCTGACCCCCCCCACTCCCCATGGGCAAGTCACCGGCCGCGTATCCAGTCACCTGGGTCTTCCCTCGGTTGACAGCAAGGGCAGAAACAGATTCTGCTGCTGGAGGGTTGGGGGTGGGATGGGGTGCGGTGGAGAGTGGGGCTGAGGATGGGGATGGGGAACCTGGGGCTGTAGGTCACGGTGAGGTGGGTCGGGAGCTCAGCCATCCCTCAGGGTCCTGACCTTGATGCCTGGCAGAGCCTGGGCCCTGCCCTCTCCTAACCAGCTCTGCCCTGGTCACACCAAGCTCTCAATGCACAGTGTCGAGCGGCTTCAGTGGCGGAGGGGCGTAGGGCGGCCCAACCTCACAAGTCTGCCCAGGGTCGGCCCCGGCGTGGTCCAGGGCTGGGAGCGGAGACGGCACTTGGTCCTTTAGGGTCCTCTATCTGGGGCGGGGGCGTCCTCAGACTTTCCTCAGCACCTCACCTGGATTCCTCACAGAGCCTGGGCCCGATTCCCTCCACCGGTATCGAGCCGCGCCTCAGAAGGAAGCCTCTCCCCTTTCAAACACCGTAGTGCGCACGTCAGTGACGTCACACCCGGCCTCCCGGATGGGGCTTCACTGGCTTGACAGTAGGGGCTGAACCGCGTTCTGACGGAGTAAGGGTGCCGAAGGGGAGAGGGGACCTCAGTCATCCCCCAGGGTCCTGACCTTGATGCCTGGCAGAGCCTGGGCCCTGCCCTCTCCTAACCAGCTCTGCCCTGGTCACACCAAGCTCTCAATCCACAGTGTCGAGCGGCTTCAGTGGCAGAGGGAAGGGGGGCGGCCCAACCTCACAAGTCTGCCCTGGGTCGGCCCCGGCGTCATCCAGGGCTGGGAGCGGAGACGGCACTTGTTCCTTTAGGGTCCTCTATCTGGGGCGGGGGCGTCCTAAGACGTTCCTCAGCACCTCACCTGGATTCCTCACAGAGCCTGGGCCCGCTTCCCTCCACCGGTATCGAGCCGTCCCTCAGATGGAAGCCTCTCCCTTCTCTCAGACCCCCCCCCCGCAGTGCGCACATCACTGACGTCACAACCGGCCTCCCGGATGGGGCTTCCCTGGCATGACAGTAGGGTCTTAACCGCGCTCTGATGGAGTAAGGGTTCCGAACGGGATAGGGGCCCTCAGTCATCCCCCAGGGTCCTGACCTTGATGCCTGGCAGAGCCTGGGCCCTGCTCTCTCCTAACCAGCTCTGCCCTGGTCACACCAAGCTCTCATTCCACACTGTCAAGCGGTTTCAGCGGCGGAGGGAAGGGGGGCGGCCCAAACCTCACAAGTCTGCCCTGGGTCGGCACCCGGGTGGTCCAGGGCTGGGAGCGGAGACGGCACTTGGCCCTTTGGGGTCCTCTATCTGGGGAGGGTGCCTCCTCAGACTTTCCTCAGCACCTCACCTGGATTCCTCACAGAGCCTGGGCCCGATTCCCTCCACCGGTATCGAGCCGCGCCTCAGAAGGAAGCCTCTCCCCTTTTAAACACCGCAGTGCGCACGTCAGTGACGTCACATCCGGCCTCCCGGATGGGGCTTCACTGGCTTGACAGTAGGGGCTGAACCGCGCTCTGACTGAGTAAGGGTGCCGAAGGGGATAGGGGCCCTCAGTCATCCCCCAGGGTCCTGACCTTGATGCCTGGCAGCGCCTGGGCCCTGCCCTCTCCTAACCAGCTCTGCCCTGGTCACACCAAGCTCTCATTCCACACTGTCTAGCGGTTTCAGCGGCGGAGGGAAGGAGGGCGGCCCAACCTCACAAGTCTGCCCTGGGTCGGCCCCCGGGTGATCCAGGGCTGCGAGCGGAGACGGCACTTGGTCCTTCAGGGTCCTCTATCTGGGGCGGGGGCGTCCTCAGACTTTCCTCAGCACCTCACCTGGATTCCTCACAGAGCCTAGGCCCGCTTCCCTCCACAGATATCGAGCCACACCTCAGAAAAAAGCCTCTCCCTTCTCTCAGACCCCCCCTCCCCGCAGTGTGCATGTGACGTCACATCCGGCCTCCCGGTTGGGGCTTCCCTGGCTTGACAGTAGGGGCTGAACCGCGTTCTGATGGCGTAAGTGTGCAGAAGGAATAGGAGGGGGGTAGGGCAGCCCAACCTCACAAGTCTGCCCTGGGTGGCCAAGGTGTGGTCCAGGGCTGGGAGCAGAGATGGCACTTGGTGTTTTAGGGTCCTCTATCTGGGGCAAGGGCCTCCTCAGACTTTCCTCAGCACCTCACCTGGATTCCTCACAGAGCCTGGGCCCGCTTCCCTCCACCGGTATCCAGCTGCGCCTCAGAAAGAAGCCTCTCCCTTCTCTCAGACCCCTCCTCCCCGCAGTGCACACGTGACGTCACATCCGGCCTCCCGGTTGGGGCTTCCCCGCCTTGACAGTAGGGGCTGAAATGCGTTCTGACGGAGTAAGGGTGCCGAAGGGGATAGGGGCCCTCAGTCATCCCCCAGGGTCCTGACCTTGATGCCTGGCAGCCCCTGGGCCCTGCCCTCTCATAACCAGCTCTGCCCTGGTCACACCAAGCTCTCATTCCACAGTGTCTAGCGGTTTCAGCGGCTGAGGGAAGGGGGGCGCCCAACCTCACAAGTCTGCCCTGGGTCGGCCCCCGGGTGGTCCAGGGCTAGGAGCGGAGATGGGACTTGGTCCTTTAGAGTCCTCTATCTGGGGCGGGGGCGTCCTCAGACTTTCCTCAGCACCTCACCTGGATTCCTCACAGAGCCTGGGCCCGCTTCCCTCCATCGGTATGGAGCTGCGCCTCAGAAGGAAGCCTCTCCCTTCTCTCAGACCCCACCTCCCCCAAGTGCGCACGTCACTGACGTCACATCCGGCCTCCCGGTTGGGGCTTCCCTGGCTTGACAGTAGGGGCTGAACCGCGTTCGACTGAGTAAGGGTGCCGAAGGGGACAGGGGCCCTCAGTCATCCCCCAGGGTCCTGACCTTGATGCCTGGCAGCGCCTGGGCCCTGCCCTCTCCTAATCAGCTCTGCCCTGGTCACACCAAGCTCTCATTACACAGTGTCTAGCGGTTTCAGCGGCGGAGGGAACGGGGGGGCCCAACCTCGCAAGTCTGCCCTGGGTCAGCCCCCAGGTGGTCCAGGGCTGGGAGCGGAGATGGCACTTGGTCCTTTAGGGTCCTCTATCTGGGGCGGGGGCGTCCTCACACTTTCCTCAGCACCTCACCTGGATCCCTCACAGAGCCTGGGCCCGCTTCCCTCCACCAGTATCGAGCGGCACCTCAGAAGGAAGCCTCTCCTTTCTCTGACCCCCCCGCCCCCGCAGTGCGCACATCACTGACGTCACAACCGGCCTCCCGGATGGGGCTTCCCTGCCTTGACAGTAGGGGCTGAAACGCATTCTGACGGAGTAAGGGTGCCGAAAGGGATAGGGGCCCTCAGTCATCCCCCAGGGTCCTGACCTTGATGCCTGCCAGCCCCTGGGCCCTGCCCTCTCCTAACCAGCTCTGCCCTGGTCACACCAAGCTCTCAGTCTAGCGGCTTCAGCGGCGGAGGGAAGGGGGCGGCCCAACCTCACAAGTCTGCCCTGGGTCGGCCCCCGGGTGATCCAGGGCTGCGAGCGGAGACGGCACTTGGTCCTTCAGGGTCCTCTATCTGGGGCGGGGGCGTCCTCACACTTTCCTCAGCACCTGACCTGGATTCCTCACAGAACCTGGGCCTGCTTCCCTCCACCGGTATCGAGCTGCACCTCAGAAGGAAGCCTCTCCCTTCTCTCAAACACCGCAGTGCGCACGTCAGTGTCGTCACATCTGGCCTCCCGGATGGGGCTTCCCTGGCTTGACAGTAGGGCCTGACCCGCGTTCTGACGGAGTAAGGGTGCGGAAGGGGATAGGGGCCCTCAGTCATCCCCCAGGGTCCTGACCTTGATGCCTGGCAGAGCCTGGGCCCTGCCCTCTCCTAACCAGCTCTGCCCTAGTCACACCAAGCTGTCATTCCACAGTGTCTAGAGGCTTCAGCGGCGGAGGGGGGTAGGCCGGCCCAACCTCACAAGTCTGTCCTGGGTCGGCCACGGCGTGGTACAGGGCTGGGAGCAGAGACGGCACTTAAGTCTTTTAGGGTCCTCTATCTGGGGCAGGGGCGTCCTCAGAGTTTCCTCAGCACCTCACCTGGATTCCTCACAGAGCCTGGGCACGCTTCCCTCCACCGGTACCGAGCTGTGCCTCAGAAGGAAGCCTCTCCCTTCTCTCAGACCCCCCCACCCCATGCGCACGTCATTGACGTCACATCCGGCCTCCCAGTTGGGGCTTCACTGGCTTGACAGTAGGGGCTTAACCGCGATCTGACGGTGCCGAAAGGGATAGGGGCCCTCAGTCATCCCCCAGGGTCCTGACCTTGATGCCTGGCCTGGGCCCTGCCCTCTCCTAACCAGCTCGGCCCTGGTCACACCAAGCTCTCATTCCACAGTGTCTAGCGGCTTCAGTGGCGGAGGAGGTGAGGGCGGCCCAACCTCACAAGTCTGCCCTGGGTCGGCCCCTGGGTGGTCCAGGGCGGGGAGCAGAGACGGGAGTTGGCCCTTTGGGGTCTTCTATCTAGGGCGGGGGCGTCCTCAGACTTTCCTCAGCACCTCACCTGGATTCCTCACAGAGCCTGGGCCCGCTTCCCTCCACCGGTATGGAGTTGCGCCTCAGAAGGAAGCCTCTCCCTTCTCTCAGACCCCCACCACCACAGTGCGCACGTCAGTGACGTCATCATCCGGCCTCCCGGTTGGAGCTTCCCTGGCTTGACAGTAGGGGCTGACCCGCGTTCTGACGGAGTAAGGGTGCCGAAGGGGAGAGGGGACCTCAGTCATCCCCCAGGGTCCTGACCTTGATGCCTGGCAGAGCCTGGGCCCTGCCCTCTCCTAACCAGCTCTGCCCTGGTCACACCAAGCTCTCAATCCAGTGTCGAGCGGCTTCAGTGGCGGAGGGAAGGGGGGCGGCCAAACCTCACAAGTCTGCCCTGCGTCGGCCCCGGCGTCGTCCAGGGCTGGGAGCGGAGACGGCACTTGGTCCTTTAGGGTCCTCTATCTGGGGCGGGGGCGTCCTAAGACGTTCCTCAGCACCTCACCTGGATTCCTCACAGAGCCTGGGCCCGCTTCCCTCCACCGGTATCGAGCTGTCCCTCAGAAGGAAGCCTCTCCCTTCTCTCAGACCC